GCCGCGGTCACGGCCATCACCGGCGTTCGTATGCGTTCCGCTGACCGTCAGCACGGTCCACTTCGCCCAGCGCCTCCTCTGCCGTCACCTCAGTACGGTCAATTTTGTTCACCAGCCTCTTTACAGTGCGGTAAATAGCGTTCACCGCCGTGCCGGCAGGACCGTCCATACTCTCCACTTCCTTGCCGTCAGTGTGGTCCACATTGTTCACCGCCGTGTCGTCAGCAGCGGTCCATATTGTCCACCTCCCTGTCGTCAGTGCGGTCTACTTTGTTCACCGCAATGCCATCAGTACGGTCTTCATTGTTCACCGCGGTACCATCAGTACGGTTTACATTGTTCACCTCCCTGCCCTCAGTACGTTCCACATTGTTCATTACCGTGCCGGCAGTACGGTCCAGATCGAGGACGAGCCGGACGCGGTGGCGTCGGCAGGCCAGCCGGCAGCGCGGCGCGCCCAACTGCTGCAGCGCCTGCGCGCCGACCCCGGCTACATCGCGCTGCTGGGCGGCACCGACCTCGAGCTGCTGGGCGAGTTGACGCCTGACCTGGCCGCCGGCTACGACGCGCAGTTCGTGGCCGATATCCAGGAGGCCAGCTGCCGCTACCTGGACGGCAGGCGCGATGTGGAGGAGGCGCTGAGTTTCCTCAAGCACTGCAAGAAGAACGGCAACTGAGGGGCGAAGGAAGCGGCGTGAGCGGCGCACGCCGAGAAGGCGGGGACGGAGGATGCGGCGGAGCGGAGGGTGCGGAGTACCGCTGTAAGCGCTGCAGAGAGGGAATTCGTCGTTGTTGGGAGCATTCTCCGCGCTCCTGCCAACGTGCGTGCCAGCAGCGATAGCTGGAGGCGCTGCTCTTCACGCTCCCGCCGGCGTCAGCGGTGCGGGTGACGGATGCGCCGCGGCGGCAGTCCGGTGTCCCGGCTGGTCGCGCTCGTTTCCCGTTGCGATCCCAACAGGGTGTGTGGAATGAAGGCTCAACTCGCGCGCGGTGATGTTTGGCGACCGTTGTTGTTTGCCGCGCCGGGCGACGCCGGCTTCCCGTGTCAAACACGATGGGTGCGATGCGGGCCAGGCGCGGCGTGAGGGTGTAATCGTCGTCTGTTCGGGATCAGGTCTCTTCTTGCTCAGGGGCGTCGCCGTCTCCGGGCGCGTCTGAAGGCTCAAGGGTCGCTCGCTGGCGTGTCTTTTCTGTACCTTTTTGTACGAGCCGCTCTTGGTAAGGGAAGAGCGGTTTTGCACTGGTCGCCCGGCGCGAGGCGCTCTCCCAGTGTTGGTCGTAGTGGTGGCGTTTGAGGTAAGAAGGCTAGGCTGTTGTGTGTGTGTGTATGTGTGTGTGTGTGTGTTCTTGTTGTCATCTCTCATCCCGACCTGATCTCCACAGCCGTGCTCCCTTTTCCTGACGCGTGACGCCAGTTCCCGGCTCTGCTGACCTTCCAATCGCCTTTAACCTCCGAAGCACTTATATCAGGCATAGATTGGCGTTGTTAATCTTTAACCCTGAAGCCCTTGAATGATATCGGGATCGGTATCGGTTAAATAAAATCCCATTTTTTACGATCAGGCATAATGATAGCGTTATGTGTACTCGGCTACAATCTTCCCCTCCTGCCTAAGAGCATGGTTGAAAAATGTGAATAATTCAAGAAAACCAATAAATAGCCGAGAATGAATAACAATACCTTCTGGTATCGATAACGAATAGAATCGCAATCGGTCAGTGGCGCAGCGAAGGGAAGGGTTTTTTGGCGCCATGCTCTCCCTCCACCTGGAGGTGGTCTGAGACTTCCTGGAAATGAGGGGTCAGTACTTCGTGACAGATTAAGACGTCAAAAGAGTTCTAAAGTATACAAACCAAACCATCAGGCATCAGAGAAAATCTCAAGCTTAAAAACATTCAAATATGAAAAACAGATCCCTTATAGCAGAGGCGCCTTGGCTGAAAGTGCCGCTTTTGTTTTGTTTGGTGTCATTCTAGGTGAAATCATGGCTATGCACTGTCATCGGTGTGTGGAATTAGGCATGGTGAACCACCCTTTGAAGCCTTGTGTAACTTTCGAACGTGGCTGTAACTCTTGAATAATATTCTGGCTGTCGAGTCCACCCTACTGTCACCATCTTTTGGCTCCCTAATTTTTCAGTTCCCTCGATTATCCTGTTCCACTGAAAACAACCTTTGGGAAAAGCACATTTATTCTTAAACCAGATGTCAAGTTTGCTTGCTACACTATCCCGTTAACCTCACCCTGATCTTTGAAACCATTTCGCGGGCTTGAGCCTCGGCGCTCCTGAACCTGGCTGCCGATGGTGGGAACCGTCGGCAGCCAGGTTCGACCAGCCAGGTATCCAGCCAGCTAGCCGGCCAGGTATCGACAGTCTCTCTCTCTCCTCTCTCTCTCATCTCTCTCTCTGCCTCTCTCCTCTCTCTCTCTCTCCTCTCTCTCTCTCTCTCTCTCTTACTCTCCTCTCTTCTCTCTCTCTCTCCTTCTCTCTCTTCTTTCCATCTCTCTCTCTCTCCTCTCTCTCTCTCTCTCTCTTTCCTCTCTCTCTCTCTCTCTCTCTCTCTCTCTTCTCTCCTCCTCTCTCTACTCTCTCTTTCTTCTTCTCTCTCTCTCTCTCTCTCTCTCTCTCTCTCTCTTCTCCTTCTCTCTCTGCTCTCTCTTCTCTCTCTCTCTCTCTCCTCTTCTTCTTCTCTCTCTCTCTTCTCTCTCTCTCTCTCTTCTCTCCTCTCTCTCTCTCTCTCTCTCTCTCTCTCTTCTCTCTCTCTCTCTCTCTCTCTCTCTCTCTCTCTCTCTCTTCTCTCTCCCTTCTCTCTTCTTCTCTCTTCTCTCTCTTCTCTCTCTCTCTCTCTTTCTCTCTCTCTATCCTCTCTCTCTCTCTTCTCCTCTCTCTCTCTCTCCTCTCTTCGCTCCTCTCTCTCTCTCTCTCTCTCTCTCTTTCTCTCTCTCTCTCTCTCTCCTCTCTCTCTCTCTCTCTCTCTCTCTCTCATCTCTCTCTCTCCTCTCTCTTCTTCTCTCTCTCTCTCTCTTCTCTTCTCTCTCTCTTCTCTCTCTCTTCTCTCTCTCTCGCCGCTATCCAGGCCTTTCCCCTTGAAACCCACTACAGGGTACACAACCCCCGGTCCAGAACACCATCCCCGGTGGAGGATACCTTCCTAGTCCAGAACAGTCTCGGTCCAGAACGCCACCAACGGCCCGGAAAATTACCCCGGTCCAGAACACATTCTCGGTCCAGAACGGTACCAACGGCTGAGGACGCCGACTCCGGTCGGGGACGCCATTCCAGGCTAGCAGCCGGCGCGGCAGACCACGTCAAGGACGCCCGCTCTGGCCGGGTGAACGGACCGGGCCTGTCCCCCTCCCTCCCCCGGTCCAGGTATGCCGGCCGAGGCGTGCGGTGTGAACCTGCGACGCACCTGGCGCGCTCGCACACGATCTGTCGTGTGCAGAAGCGGCGGCGTCTCTCGCTGGACTGGTGGTACACTTCGCACCACTGAAATGATATCGTGGGTAGAAATGGGGAACCAGTTGGGAAGTGGGAATAGTTAGATCTTGACGTGCGTGTCTTAAGACTAAGCAGTTCATAAAATGTGTGTTGCTGCAGTTAACGGGGAAATTGTCACACAGAAAGCATCGCGTGCAGTTGCGCCACGAAATATAGAAAGGAAAAATGTCATCTGAGCCTCGTATGAACTGAGTGTCTTCCTGCCTGTTTTGCTCCGCATTCGCATCTTGAATGGACTTTTGAAATTTTCTAGGGGCGCTGCAGTAATGCTTATTATTTGCCGCAGAGGGCATTTTGTGAGTATGCGATTAATGGAGAAGCCCGTCAAACCGATGTCAAACGATGACTTCTCCACCGCACCTCCTATAGCAAAATGTCGCATAGTTATTAGTGGGAGACCATTGAGTGGTGTAGATTCCGTGGTGGTTGCTTAACATTGTTTCGAAAAGAACATCCTCTCTTCCATGTATTGTGTGACCGTTGCATTCCTGCGCATGTTCGGATTCGTGAGCATCGAATCAGCAGATGGTGATAGTTCTGACCGCTGATGTAAGTTTACTTCGTTTTATATAGCCTGGATGTCGCTGGTTCTGTTGCTTCCACTTGGGCTCGGCATGCCGACCGCTGTACGGTGCAAGAGATGACCCAGTCAAGGACGTCTAGGTGACACATCACGATGAGATGAGCGTGGTCTTCGCTTTGCTGTTTATGTGATAAAGCTCGATTTGCAAATTGATGTTCGCTGCTTCAATAAACAGGCGGAATGAATGTCAGTTGAAATCTGCTCGGTGGTCCGTGATTTGCATGGACGGAGAGTGATGTCGCGCACAAGAATGCTCAAAACAAACGAAAGCTATGTAAACCATGGGTTGTTGATATCCTATCCTTTATACCCATTTCACTCCTATTCACCCGGACCAGCAGCCTGATCTGTTTACTTCTCTACCACCACATCCTGACCCTACATGTCCATGTTTTTTCGATAACACGCACAATTGTGGCCTCCCTCAATCAACATATTTTAAGCTTTATCGAACAGGTGTGCTGGTTACTGCCTCAATGGCTTTCCTCCTTTGTTCGACGAGCCGGTTTAAGATGTACTCATGGGGCCACGCACGTCTGTTCCCGGCATAATTCTGAAGAAAGGAGGAAGGATCTCGCGCGGCTTCGAACTCGTCGCCCAGCGACGGGGAGGTCAACCGACGGGGAAGGTTGATGCACCGAAAACAACGGACCATGCGCCATCCGCTCCACCCCTCCCCCTCCCCCCATCGGCGGCGGCTGGACGCGCCCGTGCCGCTGCGCCGTCTGCGCTGGCGTCCTACTTACGCAGGGGACTGGACGGCCCTCGATCCGTCAGACCCCCCGCCGAGCGGGGACCCGCGTTGCGTCAGTCCTTCGCTCTCGCTTTGTGGCGCCCGGCGTCTGCGCGCGGAACGGTCCCGCGCCGCTTAGCCCTGAGGTCAACTGGCCCCGGCAGAGGCTACGGCGGGTCCCAGGCGGCGGCGGCGTCAGTAGGCGCCAGAGCTAGGCCGGTGCGCAGGCGCTCCGCCTCGATTCGAGGTCCAGTGGTGGTGTAGTCAGTTGCTTGGCCGGTCGCGGGTAACCGCGCTACACGCAGCCAAAATGTTTGATATTTTTGGCTCGGTGCAGGGTCTATTGAAGATAGACACCGTGTGCATCGACAATAACATCTTCCGCTTGCACTACAAGGCGACGGTGGTGCTACTGGTGGTGTGCTCGCTCCTAGTGACATCTCGCCAGTACATCGGCGACCCGATCGACTGCATCGTCAATGGCATCCCCGGCAACGTCATGGACACCTACTGCTGGATCCACTCGACGTTCACCGTGCCGAAGGCGCTGACCAAGGCCGTTGGCGAGACGGTGCCTCATCCCGGCGTGGACACGGTTCAGGAAGGAGATGAGGTCAAGCACCACAAGTACTACCAGTGGGTGTGCTTCGTGCTCTTCTTCCAGGCGGTGCTGTTCTTCGTACCGCGGTACCTGTGGAAGATCTGGGAGGGCGGCAAGTGCAAGATGCTGGTCATGGAGATGAACTGCCCGATCGTCGACGAGGACGCGAAGCGGGACCGCAAGAAGCTGCTGGTGGACTACTTCCAGATGAACCTGCACAACCACAACTTCTACGCCGTACGGTTCTTCTTCTGCGAGGTCCTGAACTTCGTTAACGTTATCTGCCAGATGTACTTCACCGACATGTTCCTCGGCTATGAGTTCACCACGTACGGCTCTAGGGTGGTCCAGTACGCCAACATGGATCAGGAGGATCGGCCGGACCCGATAGCGCTGGTCTTCCCCAAGGTGACCAAGTGCACCTTCCACAAGTACGGATCCTCAGGCACCGTGGAGCGGATCGACGGCCTCTGCGTCCTCTCGCTTAACATCATCAACGAGAAGATCTTCATCTTCCTCTGGTTCTGGTTCATCGTCGTGGCAGTGGTGACGGGTCTGTCGCTGCTGTACCGTCTGGCGGTGGTGATCTCGCCCCAGGTGCGCCTGTACCTGTTCCGCGCGCGCGCCCGCCTCGCGCCACCGGAACAGGTCGAGACGATCGCGCGCAAGAGTCAAATCGGCGACTGGTTCCTGCTCTACCAGCTGGGCAAGAACATGGACCCGCTCATCTACAAGGAGTTCATTCACGATCTCTCGCGCCGCTTCGAGGGCAAGGATACGCCCTAGGACACGTGTTCCCCGCCCGGAGAGGCACAGGGGAAGGCGGGGAAGGCTGTGCCGGCGGCCGCCGCCGCGGCGCGGGCACTCCTTGGGCTGCGGGCTCCTCCCCGCGTGATAGCCGCGTCTGCCCCTGCCCCGCCGCCTGTCGGCTGGTGGGCACGTGGTGACACGTGCCCGCTTACGATCACGTGGCGCCACGTGCCCACGTTTAGAGGACCGCATGCACGCACCGTGGTGCGCGTGCCGAGCTTGGGACAGTACGACTGGCGTGGAATGATCGCTTTGTGACAGGAAAAACCATCTCAGAATTCGATGATAGCATGGCGGCTACTGTCCACATCTTTTGTATACGTGAAGCTATCTCAATTGCGCCATACTGCCGCATGGAATGCCTTCCATTTCGTACAGCTCATGCTCTGTGGAGATTATTGAGGCGTGCATATACCTGCCCCTGGAGTGTTTTTAGCTCGAGTGGAGTGATTGCTGGTTCAAGGGGCCAACTGTCAGCTCATATGACTATTTTGTGGAAATAAACGAAATGGCTGATAACACGAATAATTGTTGTTTTACTTTGTGTGGCGTATGCCATCTCAGGAGACAATCTTACACATCGACACCGTCATTTGGGGCCTTACGGCGCGGTCACCTGCTGATGCTACACGGCGTCACCTGCCCCTCTTTGTGGCAGGAGAGTCGGAGACTGCGGGGAAGCGGCCCCGGGCCTTTGCTTCCCTAATGCGCGGTTTAACCATCACGCCATTGGCAACCCTGCACATCGACGTGAGGCGGTTATCGGCGAGTTTTGAAACAGATTCGAACTACGAGCATGGATCGCGTCGCTCAAAATGTGCCCACCTCCCTCTAGCAGAGGCGCACGCACATTCATGTTCATATCCACCATGGACCCGCGCGAGCAATAACACGGGCATCGTCAAACCTACCCTAACCTTGAATAATGGTCAACTCACATCTCGTGCTTCTGCTTAAGGGATCTGCAGCGTATATGCTGGGGCAGCGTAACTTTAAGGTTCTCCGGGTCCAGCAAAGTGACGGGTAATGTTGGGGCTATGCATTTATGCTCGGTTAAGTGGATGGGCCCACCGGAAATAGGTTTCGTGTTAAATGCGTGGAAAGTCTTATAAACTCCTACGTCACGCAGCCCCCTTATTTTCGCCAAGGATTCCCTTGCATTGTAATGATTTGGCAAAATTAAGGCCTTAACGTTGAACTTTGGAAGACAATTACCTCACAAGTGTGCTCCACTTGTGAGGTAATTTACGTCGAGGGTAGTTAGAGCAAATGAGCACGCAAGTAGCAATATTATCGAAGCTTTGTGAACGTTGTGATTGCAGGGTGCTTCATGGAACCACAATTTTGTTCTCTTAAAAAACTGGAAACATTTTTGACCAACCCGATCGCTTTGAGAAGAAGTAGCACCGTTTTCCACGGCAAAAAGTACCGGACCCGTGTCCTCAACTTTGACAAATGTTAACGTTTTAACTCAAGCAGGTAACTTGTGCAGAAAACGTCAAACCACACCCTAACCCTCCTACGGATCAATGCTGGAGCAGCTGCCTCAGCAATGCCTTTCCCAAAGCACCCGAATGTCGCAGGATCGTTAATGTCCTTTGTCAAAGTGGCGCAAATCGGCCACCAGATGAAAAAGGCCCATAGTCAACGAGGCCCATCCGAACGGTAAGCATAGCGCGGCTCAAAATCCATTCCCCTCCCCCCCCCCCCCCCCCAGCGGCAATCCCCACTCTTATTTGGCTCCTCCCACTTCCGGAGCGGCGTGACCCTGTGGTGACCTCTGGCAGCCGACGGGCAGCGCGCGGTACGCCTGTGAGGCTGAAACAGCTGTGCTCTGAGTGTGCGAACCCCGCCGAGTTTTAACTGGTTAGGCTGCTGAACGAGTGTTGCATTACATTTTACATTATGAGGCTTGTCGCTGACTCGAGCGCGATCGGACTCGATTCCGGAATCGATCCCTAGTTGTTCGGGATAACGTTCAGAATCAGCGCCATTGGCTACACAGCTGTAATAAATGAGCAAGTGTTTCGCATGATTTGTGTCAATCGGAATGCATTTGGTGCCGCCATGCAAATGCCTGGCTTTCAATATTGGTCAACCGCAATGTCTGGAAAGTTTGCTTGATTGACTGGGCGCTGCGCAGCGTTTGTTAGCTAGCTATTACACGTGATAACGCTTAATGTTTCGTGTAGGCTTGAGACCCATATGGCCAGTTGGCGTGGATACTCACAGACCGGAGGCTGGAGATATAAAGAGCCCGTGAATTCCATAGTTTGAAGGAGAAATGCAGGTTTGCCTGTTGTACTGGGCTTCTTTAAATCCTTAAGTTATCTGGTATTCCTATATGGCCTTTCACGTACCAACACGTTTCTTTTTTATTACTTGTGTTGAATATCGGCGTTCAGGTTTCTTTATTACGGATCATGGTAATACCTCCGTTTGTTCCATCAAATACAATCAGTTAAAAGTGTGCGAATGTGTAAACATATAAATTATACTTCTGTGCTTATTCGCAGACAGCTGTATCTTTAATAACAAAAATACGTCCGTATCCGGGCCCAGGTTCGGAACCGAAGTCGGCCAATCCACCAGTGACGTGGTCATGCGCGAATTTAATTAATTTTTTAACAGCCGCTTTGGGCTGTGTTCGGGTTAAGCACCATTTACCCATTGTCTGGGTTCACATTCGATTCCATTCAGGCCAAGTCAAGTTAGCTGTGATTGTGCGCATGGGTTCAGTAAAGTGGGAATTTAATCTGCTTTGCTGCATTCCTAGCCGGCATACAGCACCAGCAGAGGTGAGGTGGGGTGCTGCTTTCAGAAATGAGGACAAATATGCCTTCCATGATCAGACTCACTAAGCAATGTTTTGGCATTGAGGCGTTTTAATGGGGATTTAAAGGCCTTAAACAGGGGATTGCATTGCGCCTTGACACATAATATCAGGCTGGAAAGAGCACAACGCTCTGCTGGATTCCATGCCAGGCAGGAATCGCCGGAAATGAGCTTGCCGACGCCGTCGCAAAGTGTGCTGTGCTTCGCCTGTGCACCGGACCGTACCCAATACCCGTTACGGACTTACACCCAGACATATCGTCCTCTTTACGAAGTCAGCGGCAGAGCATCTTGAATGTGGTGGGCACCAACAAGCCGAAAATAATAGAGCCGCCATTCAGGAATGGCAGTCATCCTATCGGAAGTCAAGGCGGAAGGAAATAATTCTAAGTCGCCTGCGGATCGGACCTGCTTACGTCACCCACAGCTACCTTTCATGTCGCGATGCACCGTCCCGATGCCGCCAATGTAACACAACGCTTACTGTGTTCTATGTGGTCATCTCTTGCTAGCGTAACGTTTTGAGCGTCTGCGGTACTTGCACCCGACCGCTCCGCCTCTCACACTTATGAGTAACTCGCCAATAGCTTAGCACTCACCGATCATCTGCCTGAATTTCCCGACGCACATTAACTTTTGTTCGATATATACACCGACTCAGACTGTTCGCGGCACATGATGCGGCTCTTTGAAATTTCTAATGAACTCTGGTTAGTACATGCATTTTGGGCGCTGTATGACCGCGCAGTCGAAGCACCCTTGCACTTCCAAGACGCAGATTTGCACCATGCAGCTGCCCGTGACTGCCTCTGTTGCAACACACATCTGATGACGGATGAATAGATGGCTAACTATGTATATGTTTAGTTGCAGTCTTCCGAAACAACCGTGATTATTCGATAGTGGCGTTAGTAGCACTGAAATGTGTGGAAGGAATAGGGGAGAGGAAAATTCAAGTTGAGCCGTCTATGTTCACCGAAAAGGTCCTATCAGCTCCCCTTCACTGCCGTTCGCGGCTCAATTTGTGGTCGCATGAGCATAAAAATAGCAAATAGCAAAACAGCAAAAATAGCGTGCTTGTTTCCATGAAAGTAGCCTTACTATGCTTAACCTAAAGAGGCCTTACTTCCTCTCATTCTGTCTAACTTGTTGGTACCACAGCAGCTGTTGAGTTACTGATTCCTGCACAATTCCTATCGTCACTTGCCATGCACTTCACCAACTTAACCTAACTTAGAATAGCTCATATGTTGAACATCATCTCAACTCACCCATCTGTTGACAACAGCACTTATGATAAAAACATGATAAAGCTCATTGTTTTGGCCGGTTTCAACTTGCATTCGTATTCAGTTCATTTGTGTATGCTTGTTGACATCAGACAAAGTTGACAACAGATAAATGAAAACACTTAAATCACTTTGAACAGCTTATTCTGATTGTCATGGGTAACCTCTGTAGAGGGCAATAATGGGTATCCACAAAACAAGCGCTCTTCTCCAAAAGTAACATAACTTTTAGATGACCATGCCATGTTTTGCTGCTTGCCTTTTCAGCTGCAGCAAAGGCATCTATTAAGCTTGTTTATTCATATCTAATGACATATTTTGAGATGTTAGCTTCACATTTTAAATGGAATGGTCTGACTATTTGCTTAATGCCGATATTTACCTCATATTATAATTGCTATGCGGCTTAGAGCATCCCAGTGGTAAAAGTATAATGCATATATACAGTACAGTCATTTGCCAGTAAGCAAACCATGATAACTATGAAAAACATCCGGTTCAAACAGCCATGACTGACCACTTCAAGAAATTTGGGGTGAATAATCAAGAATATGGAACAAAATAAGCCCATTGCATGCCTTGTGTCATCATAATTTGTCTTATGAGAAAACTCGATGAACAAAAACAGAAAATGGCTAACTCTGGTTACAAATCGTGTGTTGAAAGCAGGTAAGGTAAGCAATTACTTGGTCCACAGCCTTACTGGCTTTTTCAGGGTACACTTCTTCCTGGTCCCCCAAAACAAAGTCAGTACCACAGTTTGCACAGTTTGCTGGCAGACAGAGCCATCCAACTCCCCCCCCCCCCCCTCAAATATAAATATCAATCACGTCCAACAGCCTAGGAGATCAAAATGCGTAACAAGTGACAGGTGTGCATGATGAACATTTCCGGAGGGCAGAATTCGCCGTCAAACACTTCTGTATTAGCTGCGTCAGGTCTGTCCAAAAGCTCTACATGGCAGCATAAGGATAGCGTTGTCAGGTAGCCTGGTGAGTTGGACACTCGAAAGACTTAGATTCATCATTACCGAGCACCGCCATGAGCCAAAAAATTACTAACCGGGGGTTTAACGGGGCAAAAATGGCGATATTGTCTCCTTCATTCCCTGTGAATTCTTCACTCTAGGGTGCATATCAAGCATGTTTGTGCGGCTAGCGAATTAATCCAATTTATGTGTAAAATAACGCAAGTTTGCAGTTGGAGCATCTTGCAGGAAAATTGGTCAACATTTTAAGCGACAGATAGTACCTCTAAAGGCAATTGAAAAGGAGGGAAGATTAAAGTGGTCTCACACTCGTATGATACCAAGAAAAACAAAAGTGGTTAAATAAACATAAAGACTGGTACTTTTAAGAAAATTTGTGTTATGAGCTGATTTGACTTAAAATTTGTTAATATAAG